GCCTCTCAAGGCCAACCAGACACGTCAGGCCTCACTCCCTCACCCGGGCAGAGCGATAGTAGAGTTACCTCCACCTTGGGTCCGCCGGAAGAAAGAGAGCGAGAGCTTCCTCTCTCTCCTTATTTATACTCTTGCTTACGTAAAACCGTATGGAATACTGGGAACATGACCTTGGTTCCTTGGTTACAACCTGATCACCAAGGAAGGCCTAGATTCAAAACCACTACATGCTTCAAACCCAAGGATTCCAATAAACACAAATCTGGTCCCTCTGAGGACAGACAGTGTTTCATGCTGACTCTGTGTTTGTAGTACTGTAGAAATTACTGTGTGCTTAGTCCTTAATATGATATTGAGTAAAGCACAATTTTTGCATATTTTTTGATATGGTTTCTAAGCAGGCTGAATTTTTTTATGAAAAAGTCATCTGTGGTTTGGTTTTAATATTATCCTGGTGATATACACTGTTGCTCTTTGCTGAGGCCTCTGTCAGGAGTAGGCTGTTTCTTATCAATTGTAACACACTGTGTAGCATTGGTGAAAGAAAATGAACGTGGGCTTGTGTCAGTTTGCACTGAAATCACTGGAACAGCCATTCGCTTCAGTGGGAATTGGACAGAGACTCTCAAGTGAAATAATGTTTTCTTTTTGTCATCTTATTAGAACAAAAATAATGCTTCATAAACAGCCTCAATGAAGGAGACTCAAGTACTGGAGAGATTTAGAGTACAAAAGACTGTTAATATTCTTTAATTTCTCTTTAACCATTATATTTGTTAATGGCACATCTTGGAGTTTGGTTCATTGCAAGATGAAACAGGGAAAGAATTATTCTCATCTGGCTTTCCTGGGCACAAGAAATGCGTGCTTATGGTTTGGGAGAAAAGCTGTTTGCTGTCATTTCACAAACAATATTCTGATGTCTTTCAAGCCAGAATGAGTCTGTTGACCTAACATATTGAGAAATAATTTCCTGGAGCAGAAGACTGCTTTTCCAGGGTCACGCTCAGACACTGACTCTGCAACAGGACCAATTAAGCAGGCTTCAGAGAGTGGGTGAAACTATCAGAAGAAGGCAAAATACTCAGACCATCCTTTCCTTTTATTTATGGTAACTTTTTAACATGGGAATTTTCCAAGGCCACTGACATCTGTTGTGATGGCCATGAGTGCGTGTGAATTTCTTGCTGTACAAAATAATCTTGTGTGTCTCTTTCCTCTGAGGAACTGATAAATTATTACTTATCTCTTTACACCTTTCAGATCCTCACAGCAGAGTGTGCCTTACCTCAGCTGATCAGGACGATCCCCTCAGCTCTTACATCAATGCTAACTACATCAGGGTAAGAGCTCAGTAGTCCAATGTGCCTTGCCTAGCCTCTATCAGCCACTGTTAATGTAAACAGAATTGCAACGTTCACTGGCTTTTAAAGGCATCCTAGCTGATCTGATTGCTCTTCTCTCCTGCTTACATTAGCTGAAAACCAAATCTCAAAGTGCACCTGTACAGATTCAGACCAGACAGAAACATACTTCTGCAGTTCTTGATGCAAATTCCTTGTCAGATGGCCTAACCAAGGCACTGGATAATCAGCCTGAATAAGGCTTTGACCTAGCCAGAGTCACCTCAAGGCTGTTGGATACTCTTTGCTGGAATTACGTGAGTCCATACCGTGCCTTCACTCCATGTACACGTGTTCAGGAGAGAGATGGAGAGGAGAACTGATGCCACGAAGTCACCATTTCAACCAGTATAGCTCTCTGTTTTAAAGACCGAACCTTCAAGGTTGTGGTAGACATCCCTGTTAAAACTGATCTCTTGTTGTTTTGTTGGCAGGGCTATGGAGGAGAGGAAAAGGTATATATTGCTACTCAGGGACCGATAGTTAATACTGTCACTGACTTCTGGAGAATGGTGTGGCAGGAGCGTTCTCCCATCATTGTCATGATTACCAATATAGAAGAGATGAATGAGGTAATGATGTTATATTTAGTCTGATTTTTAACTGTACTCTAGTGGATATTTTCAGCATAGACACTAAGCCAGCAAATACAAGTTAGTTCAATGGCCTGTGCAATCAGAGCCTGAATTAATTTCTTCAGGCTCAAAGAAGATGTGGGCTTCTCTTTCAGTTCCATTTACTGTAAGTCCTGTTTGGCTGTCTGACTCAGCCTACTGCTGGTTTTGCCATTTTGGTCTCTCAGCTGACCTGAAACCTCTCCTAACCCGGCTCTATTTGCAGGCAGTCTTTGAAGTTCTCTCTAAAGGAATCAAAAACAATAGTAGCCCATAACTACTAAGCTTGAATATCTTTAATCAGTAGAGTTGTTGCTGCTTTATCTTGCGTTTATTGTGGCTCAGTGTCTATTTGCACATTTCATTGATGCTGTACCTGATTTCTGAAAAAATGCTAGTTATGACAATCAACACCTAGAACTGGCTTGGATGTGGAGGACCTTTTATGCATCTAGGAAATGCTTTTAAAATACGGAAATGCTGAAATTGTCTATTTGCCACCTACTTCCAGAAATTAAATTGTCGTTGTGCTTCTGCTAATCCACCTGAAGCAATTTTTTGTTTCCATTTAAAAATACTGCTGCCGTCCAGCTGTTCATTACTTACCTGCTGAAATATTTGCCCCGTAGCATAGCTGCAAGAACTGTGTGCCTGGGCTTCAGCTCACAGACATGTAGCTGAGCTTACGTCTGCCTTTATTGGCAGTGTAAGATGTGAGAAAGTGGTCTGGGCACGTGTTGTGCTCTGCATCCTCCCTCACCCCTAGCAGCAATGCATAGTGGAGATATCCAAATGTTGTAGCAGCAGTATGTCCCAAACTTGTCCTTGAGAACTCGTAATGATTTAGGTGAGGGAGTTTCCTTTGGAGAAGAGGCTTCAGACATTTAGAAGCCCGAGAATATGGGAATACGTCCAGCATACACACAGAGTTACAATGGCTTACCTGCTAACTGGAAGCTTAGTGCCCATAACCAGGCATGTACACTAACCTTTAGCTTTTCACAGTTATAAAGTAAATAAATTTAACCTTGAACTTCACTGGAAAAAAAAAAAAAAAGTAAGCAAGACTGACACAGAATTATCATGCCTTGCAAGTGAAAAATGTTCAGTTATTACAGCTGGCTGATTGAACACATACTGTCAAGGCATTGCTGATGCAAAATGTAGTATGCTGCTGATCTAAAAGTTATGTTTTCACTAACATTTTTAAATTTGCATATGCATGTGTCTGAGCAGCAGCACTGAAGTAATAACTTGCTTGTTGATCTAAGTTGCCAGTTTCTGGTGCATGAGATGTTAAAGTGTCATGACACAGTGTACTAGAATCTTTTGAGGAGTTCCAGGTTTAAAGAAGAAGATGTAGAGGAAATACTGGTCCTGAATGACCTACCTGGTGATAAGTTGTCCCACTGTAGTTTTCATGGCAAGATTGTATACCACGAATGCAAAATGACTTTCTGTCTGAACTGCCTCTTAACTGTACTGACCAAGTATTTTACCCCTCATATCACTCTTGGGAAGCAGTGCACTGCAGTACTGATGCACTACATAACTGGAGCTTGCTACAGCCTATATATCACAACAGAGCTGCTGAGTCTTTTCTGATACCTTTTGTGTCAAAAATTAAATGGTGTCAGGAATCTCAGCCATAAATACAGGGTCTTTTCATGTAAATGACTTCTATATTAATTTCTTTTTTCCGTTACACATATATTAAAATATGAATAACAGGAGTCAGAAGTACCTAGATTCAAAACCAAAACCTTTGTTCAGCAATGATGCTTGTAAGAGGGGCTTTGTGTTCCTCCTCAGCGCAGTGACTTCACTAATGTGAGTATTAAAAGCTCTGTACCTCAGCCCTCTGTCATTTCTAATCTGAACTGACAGACAGCCCACAGAAATGAGTGGGCCATCTTACTCCACTCCTTTAAGCAGAGCAATGTCTGTGCTATTGATAGCTGCTAGAGCTCTTGACAATTTTTACAGTAGATTCTGCAGTTTATGAGAAAAAACACAACTGCGTAAATAACTTTGCAGAGACACAGTGGGCCACACTCCCAGTGGGTTATTAACCGAGGCACCGTGCAGATGGAACAACACTGATTCTCCCACACAAAAATTTTTACTCAATAACTTTGCAAGGTACTTTTCTGTTGCTAGTATTTCTCCTGAAGCAGAATTATTTTTGGTGGGGGAGAGCAAAATGATTCAACTTGCTTCCTTCAAGATTGTGTGCAGCTGTTTGAGAGAGGAAACTTAGAGGCATCATCTTTACCAGTAGCAGATACCTACTCTCCTGTGATAACAAGATTGCCTCTTGCATTATCATAAGGGAGCCTTTTTCTCAGATTCTACCTTGTTCATGTCATTCCTTGTCCATGAAGTAATTTGTGCACCATCTTGAAATGCCTGTCTCTGCCTTTGCATATTGATCAGTTCTAGGAAGCTGCCTACGAAAAACCAGTCTTTTTTAGTCCTCCTTACAGGATGGGAGTGCTTACAATTTCTTTTTTTTTATCTTTAGTATATTGCTACCACAAAATAGATTTGCAACTGGACTATAGTTTCTGAGTCTCTCATTGTCAGATTGTGCTCACTGCATCTCTGACTGGTTTTGGGCAAAATCAAATGTAGCAGTCTAATGTCTCTCACTGCTATTGCTTCCTTTTAGTTCCTTAGCTTTGAAAGATTCTCACTGACAATTTTAAGTGGATTTTGATACGTAATCTATTTCCCAAAACATTCTTAGTCATGTTATTTTATACAAAAACTTATGCAAATGATAATTTTATATTCAGAGAGCACCGAGTCTTTATAAAAAAGTAGGAAAGCTGTATTTTGTGTTTCCATATTGGTAACTAGTGTATATTATACTAATCATTATTGTTTTAAGAAAGGGTTTAATCTAAAAACACAAGCACTTTGCCACTGGTCTCTCTAATGAACCTTTAAAATGCGCATCAGCTGCACAAAGATAAATAAGGATGTGTGTATTTAAAAGCATTGGTTAGTAATTACTTGATTTGTGCATTTTTAATCAAGCAATCAGGCTATTATGAGTGCCGCAAAAATCAGCTGAAATGTGGTCTCTGTTTAGAAAGTGAAAACTTGTTATAGAAACAAAGTGTATTCATATTCATCTATGCATGTGCTGTATCAAGTTTCAGAGGAGCAAAAATTGAACCTCCCTTGATATCTGCTTAACTAGATTTATTTTATGTTGCACACAGAAATGCACAGAATATTGGCCAGAGGAACAGGTCACCTATGAAGGGATAGAAATCACAGTTAACAGAGTCATACAAGCAGACGATTACCGTTTAAGGCTCATCACCCTGAAGGTAAATCATTCCGATGTACTTACAGTAGTTAGAAGTCTGAGATGTTCATGGAGAGTTATGTAAAAATCTTCTGCACGGTGTACCCCTGTACAAATACCACTTTTCATTATTGAAGTCATTGTAGCTTTGCTCAGTTCATTGATATGAAGGCTACAGTAAAATAAGCAGAGATTTAGGCTGCATGTGTACAGTCTGAAAGCTACCAGCTCAGTTGTTGCAGGGTGGTGTTCGCTTGGTAAGAAACCAGTGACTCATTCTGTGCCTGTGTCCTCTGAGTTCACTGCTCGTTTAGAATGACATGGTAGCTCACAGAGAGCTTCTTACTAGCCTTTGCAAGTCGTACCACAGACAGCACTTGTGGAGTAACGTGCTAAACTCTGTGATGATGTTCTATAGAATTCAAAGGCTTGTTTATTCATTGGTCCATGGACTTGGGCGAAGGGCTACTGATTACTGATAACAGGGAATTTTTGACATGCATGGCATCTTACATAATTTGTAGTATGTATGGGTAGACCCCTAAGAAATATTCTTGTCCTTTTATGGTCATTATTAGGATGCTGTTAGACTGAGCTGTTTATATGTAGGATGATTTGTGCTACTAGCAAGAAGTGGGGGGGTTGAGAACTGAGCAAAAGGTGGTTTAATTTTGCTTACCTATTTGCAGTTTCTCTCAGCACTGGGACTACTGGTCTGTTTGGCACTTGTCAGTAGTATGGTAGCACCACTTCTGTTCCTCAAGGCTAAAACCCTTTCAATAGGTACTATGCTAATTATTCTTTGAGTAATTTGTCTGACTTGACTTCAAAGATACTTTAAGGGATCATTCTGCTCCAAGACACTAAAACTGTTGATGACTCTTAAAAATATTTTCTTTTATTTCTAAATATTTCTAAATATTACTGTCTTTCGAACCAACTGTATATGTAGTTTTATATACCAGTAACCATTCTATCATCTTGTGGATAGAAAACTTAAACATAGGTTTGATTTTCTAAGTACTTAGATACTACTTGGCTAAAAGTACCAGAGTCCTATTTTACAGCTATTTTCATTGCTAGGTTCTAGAATATCAAGCTACATTTTTTAATAAGAACAGTCTATTTACATAAACTTCATACATCTTTCATCTACCAGATCTATCCCTGACCTCAGTATAACACCACCATTTCTTTCCCAGCTGGAAAAACTCTCCTTTTATCCAACCAGTTTCAAGTCTCTTCAGCCATATGCTAATAGGCAGAAAGCCAGCATATGATATCCCATGTCTGGGATGTTCAGAGTGTGGAAAGTCTGTCACTCACGCTTTTGGCTAAGGCAGCAAGGAGAAAATCACACTCCCTGACAAGTGGGAAGTGACACGTTGCAGAGTTGCAGCTTCATCCGAGTTAAACAATGTTTTTGTTTTCAGTACTAGTGTGGCAATGTCTCCTTCTTCCCACCCCAAACGTCAGGATATGAACTGTTGAATTCTAAAGCTGAAATAAAGATTCCATTTGTTAAGTTACTGTTGCCTAGAGCTGTACATTTATCACTTAATAGCAATAGTGGAGTAGGAGCTCCAAACCATGTGTACTATAAGTGACTTGGTAGTGAACACTGGAGAAGCCAATAGACTTCTGTTTTCCCTTAAACAGGAGTGGTCAGAAATATCTGATACCACTACCAGCAATATATGATTACTGTGTGTTTGTATTACAGAGTGGACCAATACTTCTCTCAGTATAGGGGACAGGATTTGACAAGCTTCAGGAATTTAGAAAAAGCTCAGGCAATAGGCAAGGCTTGTTTTCCTTTCTCAGAGAAACCTGCCAGTGCCTAGTCACTGATTCATGACCTCAGCTACAGCATATGTGATGGTAGACTTCAAACCATCACTTAAATTTTCCTTCCTCTTAAGTGTTCCCAAGTCTTCTCAGTCTCAGGGAGCCACCATAGAGAATATTTTGTTAAAGTCAAAGCAGAAGTGTACAGAACCACACAAGTCAGGGTTCTCTAAGCAGAAGCATAAAACTTTTATCACTGTAGACAAAAGTGAAGACATCCAGAATTCAGGATTAGAATGTCAGCTGTTTTCTATTCTGTCAGCTAAGTGACTTTATACAGTGATTCATGTTTTTTTTCATATGACTGTCATCTTTTACTTTTTTGTCTGTGTTATTGACAACATTTTTATTATAATTTTTCACAACTGAGCTAAGAATCAGATGTTCATAACTTCTGTGGCTCACACACAGTCACATTCAAATGCAACTGTGTATGTTCCTGTTTCAGAGGAGTGTTGATTGGACTTACTGAAGTGAGCTCAAGTACTATTTGTGACAACTGGTTATGCTCTCTTAAACAAAGTATTTTCTTATTAGGATAAATAACCTAAGGCCAGGCTCAGTGCTACAACAGTAAGATTCTCTTTTCCTAAAGTGAGTTAGACGTAGCTTTAAGGTTCCTATGGCTGTTCTTCAATGAACATTTTAAACTCAGTGTGAGATGGAACGGCACCTCAATGAAGCCGAGCCTCCTGTTACTCAGCTCTCTTGTTCCTACCCTTGTGCCATTTCCCATGTCCCCTCACAAGCATTTATGTGACTGTGTGGTAAGCCAAAGGGGGAAACCAGTAAATCCATCTGAAAATTAATCCATCTCAAGAAAGTAAAAAGATTTAGCTTGATCACTTTCCCAATCTAATTCACTGTGAAGCTGTGCAAAAGCTCTGTCAACCAAAGAGAAGGATGGAAAATGGCACAATCACAGAGCACTCTTAACATTCAGTCACTGACAGTCATAGGGAGGGACTTGGGAATATGGATGACAGAAACTATTTTCAGATTTTTGTGCCTTGTTCTTTAGAAGGGCCACATTTGTCTTTTTTTATTTTTCTTCCGTCTTCAACTCAGACAGCCTTGTGTTGAAGGGAGGGTTGTGGAAGATAACATTTCTGTTCCTGGACCTTTTGAAAACATGGCTTGCATAATGGCTGTAGGCTAAGACCAGTTCCCTGAGCACCGTGTTACTATTTTGCACCTTCAGAAAACAGACAGAAGGACATCACTTTGAACACACAAAATCAGAAGCGCACTGTGCTACTTGGCACTTGGAAAAGGAAATGGCATATTTGCTATTTCATAGCCATTCTGAGACAGAGACTCGGAATTTGTGTCTCTCAAAAGGCCATGGACTGCAGCTAGAGACTATTCCAACCTTCCACAGGGTCTCTGAAGTTGTCACCATGTCTGAGAGAAGAGTAGAATTGACAGGAAACTGATGTAAGTCTGTCTGTCAGAAGAGATAGAAAAATAAGCTCCCATCTCTCTCCCTCATCTATTTAT